ACCATTTCATCACTTGTTTTGAAAACAGCTGAAAGATATCTTAAATGGATTTTTACACATCTTCAAATGATTTCCACCAAAAAAAACTAAATTTTTGACGAAAGGGTTTGATTTATATACTACTTTGGAAGCACGCTGTACTTGTTGTGGTGTTATGACATGGATTATGTATTTTCTTACTGCTCAGTCTTTATCTACTCTTATTACTTACTGAGTTCGCGTACTCACATTACTCCCTACACCTTGTGTGCAGATTCAGGTATTTCTGAACCCGATGGCGGGTGTTGATTACTCAGTGGCAGGTTCATCGGAGTTTCAAGGTAACTGCCTGGCGATAGCAGCCCTTCTTTTTTTCCTCTTCATTCTTCCTTAGTGTATTCAGTGATTTTCTTGGCTATGTTGATCTTGGTGTTATCAAACAGTTGTAGTAGATGCCCATGACTAGTGGCACTCCGATGTTGGATTTTTTTTCCGCACTGTTGATTTGTTCTAAGCGCTTTTAAAGGCTTATTGTTAAATAGCTTTGATTTTATCCTAAGAATAAAGATATTGATTGGTTTTGAGTTTGTGTCGGCTGGCCTAGTTCCAATATGGGCTCCATCACGATCAGGTTGGTTTTGGGGTCGTGACATTTGTCCTAAGGCTACATAAACCAGGAATCCTTTTCCTGTCAACACCATTAAATCCAAACATATTTTTGATCTTATACATGGGGACTCATGGGGACTTTATAAGTCCAATATTTATAGTGGATTCAGATACTTTCTTACTATAGTAGAGGAACATGGACATTCTTATTAAGTGCTAAGAGCAATTCTTTTCCTATGCTTAAATCTTTTCTGTCCATGGTTGAGAAACGATTCAATGTAAAAGTGAGAATGATAAGATCTGACAATGCACTAGAACTGGGAAAAGGCACACAAGAGGCAGCTCTTCTAGATTCAGAAGGAATTCTGCACCAACTATCTTGTGTAGCTTCCTCAAAAGAATTGGATTGTTAGATGAAACATAGGCACGTTTTAGAGATTGCAAGAGGGTTAATGTTCCAATCCAGGATGCCTATGTCATATTGGGGTGAATCTATTTTGACTGCCATATATCATATAAATAGGTTACCTTCTAGTGTTCATAATGGAAAAATATCATATGAGGTCCTATTTTAGCAAAACCCAAATATAATATTTGAGGAACTTTGGGTGCCGATGTTATGCCTCTACATTAGCATAGGGAAGGAGGAAGTTTGATGATAAGGAAACAACTTGTGTTTTTCTTGGTTATCCTCTTTAACAAAAGGGATACAAATTACTAGAGTTGTCCACAAGGAGAGTTTTTGTGTCCAGGGATGTGAAGATTTTTTTAATTACATTTCCCTTTTGCTTAAATCAATACATCACACCATCCTATTATTCCAACCTCACCTTTCACCACAGAACCTACCTATTCAACCTCATCACAGGATCACTCATTACCTATTTCCTCAGAATCAGAAGTAGCAGATGTTTTCTCACCACCACCATCAAGTCCTTCATATATTCCTCCTAATCATCAATTATCTGCTAGCCCAATTCCATTTTCCCCCATCCTAGATTTACCACACACTAGCTCACTTATTTCTATACCTCAGGAACTTATTCCATTGAGAAAGTAAGGAAGGTTTTCTAATCAACCAATCCACTTGAAAGATTATGTGTGTAGTAGTATCATGTTCACAGATGTAGCAACAACTTGTTTTGCTCAACCTTGCAAGCATAGGGAATATTGTTTCTCATCCCTCTCACCTAATAATCAGCATATTATACAATCCCTTTATACACTAATAGAACCTTATACTTTTAGCCAAGTTTGTCAACATCTAGGTTGGATAGAAGCTATGAATACAAAGATTAAAGCTCTAGAGGATAACCACACATGGGATGTGGTTGAATTACCTAAAGGAAAAAGGATTTAGCTTATAAATGAGTGTACTAGGTAATGCGCTTGTCAGATGGTAAAAGTGAAAGGTTAAAGGCAAGGATAGTGGTCAGGGTGGATATACAAAGAGAAGGCATAGATTATAGTGAGACTTTCTCACCAGTGATAAAGATGACAATCATAATGTGTTTACTGACTATTGCAGCCAAGAAAGACTGGAATGTATCTTAATTAGATGTCAACAATACATTTCTGCATGGGAATCTACAAGAAGAGATGGACATGAGGTTCCCAGCAGGATTAGAACCTCCTAGCCCCAAACATGTTTTCCTATTGAAGAAATCATTATATGATTTAAAACAGACTTCCACGTAATGATATGCTAGGCTTGTAGGGCTTTGAGTTTTAAGGGGTACTCTTCATCACTAAATGACTATTCTTTGTTCTTTAAGTGCACATGAAGCCTTATTTCTATCCTAATTGTCTATGTCGATGACATACTACTCACAGGGGATGATTTAGATTAAGCTCAACACATCAAGGCCTTTCTAAACACTAAGTTTAAAGTTAAGAATTTGGGAAATATACATTATTTCCTAGGCATGGAAATTTGAGAGAAAAGGCATGATTTATTATAAGTCAAAGAAAATTTACCTTAGACATGTTAAAGGAGTTTGATGTGGTGGGTCTTATTTGCCTCGAGCTCCCCTTTGGACCCTTCTCGAAGCTTCAGGGTGATGATGGATAGCCTTTACAAAATCCTATTGTATTTCGTCACTTGGTCGGAAAGTTAAATTATTTAAGTAATACTCGACTGGATCTTTCCTTTGTTGTGCCCACCCTCAGTCAATATATGTCAAAACCCTATGCATCTCACTTTTCTACTGCTTTAAGAGTACTCAAATATCTAAGTTATGATCCGGGTCAAGGAACCCTCCTTTGATCAGATCCATCATTTTCCTTGCTTGCATTTTGCGACGCTGATTGGGCTTCTTGCAAGGATTTTAGGAGGTCCGTCAGTGGTTTCTTCATAACACTGGGAGGAGCTCCCATTTCATGGAAATCAAAGAAGCATGTATCAATTTCTTTGGTTTCTACAAAAGCAGAATACATAGCTATGACGAGAGTCAGTATAGAACTTACATGGTTAGTACGAGTGCGTGAAGATCTCTTTGCACTGGTGACTCTCCCAATTCCTCTTCACTCTGATAGAAAAGCAGCCATCCACGTCGCCCATAACCCCTTATTTCATGAACGCACAAAATATGTTGAAATTGACTTTTATTTTGTGCGTCAATAATTTCTTTTGGGGTTAATTAATTTCTTTAGTTCCTTAAATATCAGCTCGCAAAGCTCTTCACAAAGCCTCTTATGGGGTTTCTCATCACAAGATTTTGGGCAAATTAGGGACCACAGAGTTCCCTTCTAACTTGAGGGGGATGTTGGGAAGAAGAAACCTCATCCTAACTCTGATTTGTATGGAGTTTTGCCTAGAGATGGAAAGAGGGAATAAAGAAGAAGATGACTTATAAAAACCTCATTTGTTCCGACCAAAGTTGTTATGTTCGATATAACCTATGTTATACAGGTTATACTCAATGCACTCTTCGGAACACATGGAAGAGCCTCGACCTTTGGATCAAGTAAATCAATTCATGATAGATTAATTATATACCATCGGATAGTCTTAATACTAGAAGCTTCCCTCACATGACTAACATGTGAGGGAATATAGTTAGTTGAGTAGAAAGAATAAATCTATTACGAATAGGCAAATTAGAATAGGACAAGTGTATATAGTTTTCTCTTTCCTGCTATTCTTTGTTTTTCAGATGTAAGTGTGTATATATATGTACAATAATAGTGATGAAATACACATAGAAAATTCTCCAATTTCTTCTTCATTTTGTACATTGTTTGAACAACTTAACTTGAATCTGCTTTTATAATTTTTTTAAACTTATACCCGATTTTAGCCTACTTCAGATGCAACCGCCTCTTTTTTCTCCTCTTTCTTTTCTTCTTTCCTCCTTTTCTTTCTTCTTTCTTCTTCGTGGCTGTTTTCATAGGGTTTTATTGCTTCACTGCCTCCTTTTTTTTCTTCTTGGTTTTGTTGGTGGTTATGTCTGACTTCATTGGTAGGTCTTTCTTTGCTGGGAGTTTGAGTAGTTATTCTAAATATCTTATAGATGTACACTTAAAGTTTCTAACGTTTTTAAACAACAAATAATCTTTCAATTTAAATATAAATTATAATAAGACTGACTATCATAAATACAAAATACGACAATGATTGTTGATATATCTAAAAGCTCCCATTTTTGAATTTTTGGTAGTAGAATCAAGTCATATTTCGACCATTTTTGTTATTAGTGAAAGAGGAAAAAAAAGCTTAGATTGAAACGTGTTAAGGAAAACTACTTTCATAATCTCTTTTCGTAATTCATAGAAGTTGATGGTTGATATTTCAAGGTTTAATTTGATTGCTTCATTCATGAATATTTATCTCCAAAGTCTGAAATTTAGGCAAATAAGATATGAAGTTAAGACAAAAAAATTCAAAGTTTAGTTAAAAAAAATTTGAAGTTTTTGACCTTGTCAAGTCCAAACTTTTGACAAACTATCTGAATGTTTGGACTTGCCAAGGCGAAGCATCAAGCAAAAAATGTCTAAATTTAAAATTTCATCCACAGATTTTTATAATTTCAATCACGTATGTCTCAACTGTGTTTCAAAGTGGGTAAATTTATAAAGTTTTGCGCAATATGAGTATTCAATGGTGGCCTAAAAATGACGACGATTGAATATATATATATACTTCCCCCTAATGACGATGGTTGGCCGACCATCCTTGGTGACCTATGGCTCAATAGCATGTCTAGATCATTTGAAATACGTTGCAAATTGATGATTCTTTAATAAGATGATTTAGATAAAAAGAATATTTCATCTTTTTCAATTGATGTGAATCTATTTTCTTTTTAGTTTGTTTATAAAAGGATGTCTCCTTAAATATGAAACAAGTTTCTACGCTGAGAGGACATTATTAGGACGACAATTTAAATTTTAACCCTATTCATAAATCTTACTTTCTTTAGCTTTTCGTAAGAACTTCCTTTTTCTCTTCCTTCTTCCTCCTTCTTCTCCATCCTCTTATTCTCCTTCCTCTTTTTTCTCCTCCTTCTTCTTCCAAAATTATGAGCAGACAACTAAAATTGATATAAAATATGTGCTCTAGAAAAATATTGAACATTCATTATATATATGATTGTATTTATTGGGTAATGTTCGATTGAACTTATATCATATATCCTTAATGACTTGAGTTAGGTTGGTTGGACAAAATTGAAAAACACCATTATTAGATTGTTGGGCTTAAAAATAAACTTGTCGAAGAAGACAAAGCAGGTCTATTGATATTTGAAGGTTTTGATAGATCAATTTTGAAGCAAAAACATGTTGGTAAATTTCTGCCCATCATGTTATGGCGATCATCAGAACTTTGGCCAGAAATCCCGATGATCACTAGGATTTTCGATCACAACAACAAACAACAACAATAATCTAGTAGAATCCCATTAATGGGGTATAGGGAGGGTAGAATGTACGCAGACCTTACCCTACCTCGAAGGGATAGAGAGACTATTTCCGGGACACCCTCGGCTTAAAGACAATAGATCCGTAACTACAACAAAAAAATAGTTTCAGCATCGTAAAATACAACAAATAAATAAGAAGGCCAAAATATGAAAGACAACAAAAAATGTAAAACACAACAAAAATCGCTAGCAGTCCTAGATGAAACACTATCAGACTAGCCAGCGTAGCGAGGAGAAACACTCGACTATCCCCAAACATACAACCCTAATGCTCGACCACACCTTCCTATCAAGGGCTATGTCCTCAAAAATCTGAAGTTGCACCATGTCCTGCCTGATCACCTCCCTCCAGTCCTTCTTAGGCCGCTCTCTACCTCTTTCCGTACCTACCAGAGCCAAATGCTCACACCTCCTAACCCAAGCATCTAGGCTCCTCCTCCGCTTGTGCTCGAACCACCTAAGCCTCGCTTCCCGCATCTTGTCATCCACAGGAGCCACCCCCACCCTCTCCCGAATATCCTCATTTCTAATCTTATACATTCGAGTGTGCCTGCACATCCATCTCAATATCATCATTTATACTACTTTTATCTTCTGGATATGTGAAATCTTGACTGGCCAATAGTCAACCCCATACAACATGGCCGGTCTAACCACTGCTCTATAGAACTTACCTTTAAGTTTCGGTGGCACATTCTTGTCACACAGGACTCCAGATGTTAACCTTCATTTCATTCACCCACTCCGATACGGTGCGTGAAATCCCCATTGATCTCCTCATCTTCCTAGATAATAGACCCTAGGTACTTGAAACTCTCTCTCTTAGGGATGACTTGTGAGTCAAGCCTCACTTCCACATCTGCTTCCCCCGACACGTTGCTGCATTTACACTCCAAATATTTTATCTTGGTCCTACTCAACTTGAAACCTTAAGACTCCAGGGCCTGCCTCTATTCCTTCAGTCTCTCGTTAACGCTGCCTCACGTCTCATCAATCAGAACTATATCATCAGTGAACAGTATACACAAAGACACCTCCCCTTGAATATGGTGTGTCAATGCGTCCATTGCTAGGGCAAATAAGAACGGGCTGAGCGCAGATCCTTGGTGTAAATTCATAACCACCGGAAAAGGCTCTGAGTCACCTTCCACTGTCCTAACCCAATTCTTAGCTCCATCATACATATCTTTTATTACCCTAATATAAGCTACTGTTATACATTTCACCTCCAAGCATCTCCAAAGAACGTCCCTAGGGACCTTGTAATACGCCTTCTCTAGGTCAATAAACACCATGTGCAAATTCCTCTTCCTATCTCTGTATTGTTCCACCAACCTCCTACTAAGATGGATAGCTTACGTAGTAGAACGACCTGACATGAACCCGAACTGGTTCTCTAATATAGACACCGCCCTCCTTACCCTCCCTTCAACCACCCTCTCCCAAACTTTCATGGTATGACTCAGTAACTTGATACCCCTATAGTTGTTACAATTCTGGATATCACCTTTGTTCTTGTACATCAGAATCATCGTACTCTACCTCTACTTATCGGGCATCCTCTTCATCCTGAAAGTATATTAAACAGCCCAGTCAGCCACTCCAAGTCTGCTCTATCCACATACCTCCAAAATTCTACTGGGATCTCGTCTGGTCCAATAGTTTTGGCCCACTCATCTTACGTATCGCTCCTATGACCTCCTCAACCTTAATATGACTACAGTACCTAAAGTATCGGTGACTCTCAGAGTGCCTCAATCCCCTAACAAGATGTTTCTATCCTCCTCTTCGTTCAGTAGTTTATGAAATAACTTCTTATCCCCACCTTTAGCCCCCAGTTCCTCATTGTCACACCTCCTTTTTACCACCCAAGGGGTATATAAGGGAGTTTTTCCAATTAAAGTGACATAATTCAAAATGAAATTATTTTATTTAATTTCATAGTCGCCACTTGGAATAATTTATTCGGTGTCCCAAGTCACCGATTTATTTTAAATACCAAATCGAGGAAAATCGACTTTATTTAAAAGTCTGAGAAACCAGAAATTCTAAGTAAGGAACTCTGTTAACCCGAGAGACGGTATTATGCATTCCCGGGTTTTGTGGTTCTAGCACGTTCGCTTAAACTGTTAAAATTGGCCTATTATCTGATTTACTACATGTTTTAATCTATTGTGCACTTTTAGCTTTATAACCAATTTTAATTGTTTTAGGAAGATTCAATGCTATTTAAAACGCGTCATAAACCACGCTACATGAAATGCACCCGTAGTTCGCAACACGCTTTATTTAACATTGTTGAAGATTGAAATTGAGTCACATGAAATGTACACCCAGATTTTAATAATTAAAAAAAATATCACAGCTACGTCACAGGAACCGTACCCATAGCTATGATGAATTATTTAAAGAACGTTCCTGAAGCAACTACGCAGGTTCAATTTTAATAGCAATATTTGTGAGGGCCATGGATGATTTAATTGATGGCACGCCTCAAACCTTTTCTACAAGGGTTAATTCTTGATCTAATTTTATGAGGGCCATTAGTTAAGGGGTGTTGCTTGGCATGGCACACCACACTAGAGCCTTTTTTAGAGGAAGGTTACACTTGGTTGGAATAGTTAAGTTTAAATTAGATCTATGGGAAATGGACATGGGCTTAGGCGTTCATTATTGGGTTGAACCTAGAAATATTCAGCTTTGAAAAGATGGAAATTGGGCTCCAAATTTGGCCCAGCAGGACGAGTATTTCAGGGATCTAGTCCCTATTGGGATTTGACTAAGTGCTCGCCCATATTGGGCTCTAGGCGGGCCCAGTGACTATGTTTTCTGGCTGGGCCTATCTACCCCTTTTGAATCAACCGAAATTTGCCTATTCATACATGACTATACCTATTGCTTGTTAAGTAAAATCAATAAAGATCAAACAGCACTACCAATTAGCAATTAAATGCATGGCTAAACAACATATAATAACATGTTTTCTATTATAATCTAAGAAAAGAAACTTTATAACTGAAGTCAATCTGCAGGGTTCAACGTCCAGGCCCGTTTGCCTGGGCCCAGACTTGCTCAAATGAGTTCCGATGTCGGACCTCAATGCAAGTCTGGCCCAATTCATGTCAAGTCATTACACCACGATAATGTTTATTACAAAAAAAGGCAAAGGGCCCAGCTGTGGTGATCCTATACTAATTAAACAAAAGAAAGAGCTGAATTTAAAAAGAATCATTATAACAGTCTGTTTAACCTGTTGAAAGTCCATGAGTTTACAAAAAATAAATAATAGGCCATTTTTTCAACGGTTCGTAATACTAATGCCTAAAAGAAAATTTTAAAAGTAATCAAAAGAAACATTTTTCTCCTAAATTAAGGTTTTCTTCTGTTATCAGATCCTTCAACAGGGTGCAAACTTGCAAGCAATCAACTATAAAGTTGTTCCTCACAAGTAGACACTTCGAGCTTCAACCTTGAGGTTATTTTGCTTTGTGGTCACTCACATACAAACAAAGGTAACAATACAGCTATCAGTACATATAGAAATCCATAGATTAGTGTAACTTTGACTTAACTAACAAAAAGCAATTAGAAAGAAAGGAAAGAGGCTACTTCAGCAATTAGGGATTCATGTTCAAACCATTCCAACAATCTTTTCACATAAGAACTTGGCTAAGTAAAATGCTCAAGCATGCTAGTGAGGTAATAACTTAACACATTTGAAGGAATCATGATCATAAAGAACAAACAAGCTGGAAATAAGAAAAGACACTTAACAAACAAAAGCTTTTCATTCAGCCATCCAGACAAAAGATTACAGAAGCTAAATGAACCCAAGTCAAGCACGTGAGTTCAAAATGTGTACCTTTATCAGCAAAATAGATAATAAAAGCAAAAATCTCTCTGAAAACTGAATTTCAACAACAACAAAACCAAAAATAACCCAAATATCCAAATCCAAACCAAAACCATCTTGAAACCAGGAGATCCAGCTAAAAGAACTAAGAAAATCTTCTATTTCAAACCATGTTTTCAACTTGTAAAGAATCAGAAAATGAGAAGTTTTTTTTTTTACTTTTTCCAAGATTTCTGGAATAGAACTTTTTCAGAAAAAAGAGAACTTTTGTACAGTGAATTTGATGATGAATGTCTGTTTATCATAATGAGAGAACCTACATATATAGGCTACCTAGAAAGGGTATCTTTTTGGGCGTATTCCTTATCCTAAGGTAAAAATAGTACTGTCCTTTTACAGCCCCTGATACAGCTGTCCTATATTTCAACATCTTTTATAACAGCTAGGACAGCTGTACATTTCTAGGAAGTTTCTGATTTTTTAGCCTAAGTGGAAATCCATTTTTACCCTTTAAATTACTGCTTATTTCAGTTCTTATCCTAAACTTTTTAGGTTCAATTGAGTCCCTAAGTTCCTATTGATTTTCAAATCTGGACAAACAAAAACAAACCTAGAAAAGATCAGAAATTCAAATCAAAAAGGCCTAAAAGAATCAAGTGACTGCAATCATGAACCTAAAACTAAATTAACCAATAAACAGAAATGCTTAGCTAATTAAACCTAAACGGGAATTGAGTCTAACAACTAATGCACTTAACAGTAATCACAACAAATTAAAGATGCAAAGAAGGCCTAGAGTCCAACCTTTATCAGTTTTTAAACTGAAGCAATTAAAGCAACAAACAATCTAACTAGTTTGTCAATTTACTCAAAATAAAACTGACTATAAAATGAAATCATGAAGAAAAAACAGGGTAGGCACCAAACGAACCCTAATTAAACTAAAATCATGCAATTGAGTATTAAAATGCAAACATGCTTCAATTAATCAAGAACAAATAAACAACTAAGCAGTCATGAATAAAGAAAAGAAAAAATCTAAAATTAAACCTAAACATGCGGCTAATCAGAGATGTGAACATAAAGAGGGAAAAGAAAACCTAAGAAAAAAAATAACAGAAGAGTAAAGGGAAATTACCTAACCTAATAGTAGGATGGACTTGGTCGACCTTGCCGGAATTTGACCGGATTCTGGCAAGTTTGGAAACAAACCAAACCCACATGAATCAATTGCTCTTGTTAAGAGCAGTTGACTCATGTAGGTTTGAGCCGTTAAATGCTCGGAATCAACCAGGGTAAACTTTTAGGGATTCAGAATCTGAGATCTGAAATTCGAACAAATTGAGGCCGATTCGGAGGGGGCTAATGGTGATTTGTGGTTTAGAGGGGTGCAAGGATTATAGGGTGTGAATTTGCAGCGGATTGGAGCAGTTAGGGTTTTGGCCGTGATTTTCGATCTAAGATTCGAGGATTTTGGCCGGGATTCGAGGGAAAAGGATTGAAGATTTGGAATGAGGAAGTTATGAGGGATTCATGGTGTAAATTTGGGGAAGATTAATGGTGGTCCTCCGCCGTGAGGCGATTTCCGATCGGCGGACCATGGCGGAATAGTGCAGAACCGGCGAGGGGTAAGAGAGAGAGTGAGAGAGAGATGAAGTGAGGGGGGTCTTTGGGGTTAGGGGTGTTTCAGACAATATTATACTGATGGGCTGATCAGTTCTGAGCCGTTAGATCTAAGATGATCAACTGTTGGGATCAAAAAGGGGGAATACGGGATCGTTTAGTCTAAAACGGGGTGGACCGGGTGGACTATTGTTTGGGCTTGGGTCTTGGGCGATATTTGGGCTGGTTTGGCTATAAAATCAACCCAATTGAAAGATCCCTCTTTTTATTCCTTTTTCTTTTCTTTTCTTTTTTTTTTAATTAAAAATCCTAAAATTAGAAACCTAAATTAATCTAAAATGTGGAGTTAAACTAATTACCTAATTACAAAAGTTATAAAAATAACTTAATCCTAAATTAAAAGTGTAAAACTCAATAATCTAAAATAAAAGAAAAAGAGTAAAAATGGGCCATTTTTTGTGATTTTCAGTTTTAATAAAGCAAATAATTATTTAATTAATTCTAAAAATATAAAAACAAACTTGAATGCAATGCATGGTATTTTTGGTATTTTTTCAGAATTTTTTAATAAAATTATACATGCACACAAATGCAAACAATTAATAGAATTCTGCAAAAATTCCTAAAAATGGCAAATAATTAAGAAAAAATCCATTTTCTTGGGATTTTTTAGGAGTATTTTGTATAGGACAAAAATCACATGCTCACAGCTGCCCCTCTTTGCTCGGAAATACGAAGGGTTTTCGAGCAAAGATAAAATGAACAATTACAAGCGATTTTTGCCCGTTTGAAACTCCATGAGAAACATCTTCGAAAAAA